TCTACCTCAGCGTAACCTTAAGCATTTTAACGAACCTGGAACACTGGTCTAATTTGTTTTCAATGAGTGATACTAAGATGTCAGTGTCAGTAACAGTATTAGCTTGGTGTGACATATGGTAACGAAATGCTTGCCAGTTAGTTATCTTTGTTGAGGGCCCATATTCAGAAAAGCGTACTTTTGGATACTGTATTGGGATAGGTAAATGATAACTACTTCTTGTTTCAATGTCTGTTCGCATTGAAGCCCCAAATGCAATATCATGTGAGCAGAGCGTGAGGTCTAGGCAACTCGAGTCATTGAAACCCTGTAAGAACATCACTCAACGATCATTTAACAAGCACAATGAACTATCCTGAATTGCTTTTTGTAGGTCCTTTCCGCGACGATCGCAGTGGGCACTTCCTCACATGACATTGTGAGCATAGACTTCTATGCAGTATATCAAAGCTTTAATGTGCGTATGGAAAAGCTTTCTCAATGCGGAAAGCGAGACATTTGTGAAAGGCTGGAGATAGATGATTGATTGACATGTGGGGTTCAACGTCCCAAAGCCACCATATGAATATGAGAGACGTCATAGTGGAGGGCTCCGGAAATTTTGACCACCTGGGGCTCTTTAACGTGCACCTAAATCTTAGCACACGGGCCGACAACATTTCCGCCTCCATCATAAATGCAACCTCCGCAGCCGAGATTCAAACCCACGACCTGCGGCTCAACAGCCGAGCACCTTAGCCACAAGACCACTGTGGCGGGGCCAAAGCTGGAGATAAACGCTGAATATTGTTATATTTACTAGGCCAAATCTAACCTCACATGATGCATATTCTGGATGATCCAATAATGTAGCATTCAACTGTACTGGTGGCAGATCTTTTCACACACATATCATCGCTCTACTTGGTCCTGTAGATCTGAAAGGCATATACACAACGTATTTCGCTAACCGGAAAGTAGTGCTTACCCTGGCCTCTGTAAAACATAACACTGGAAAGGAGCTCTCAGCCACAAATTTTACGAATTTTACTTAGGGGGAAGACTTTTCGCATTCCACTGGAAGATCGCGACATTTTGATAGAATTATGCATGTCTTGCCCGTGCAGTGACTATTGTGGCTAATTGTAGGACTACTCGTTCCATCGATAAGATGGTTTGACCTCAGGAAGGTTGTTAGCTTATGGGATCGCAGCTGGTATAGCTCTAAAGCCGAGAAAGACACTGGCATTACAGGATGAGCTATCGACACAAAGGAGTTTTCTGGTTGCGTTACACTCACTGGACGCGATGTGCTCGTGCTTTCTCGCATGTTATTCATGCTGCTACTTTTCTCTTGAGTTCCCTCCTGAGACTCTTGACGAGCTTGCTGCGGGTTTCTTACTGTCCCCGCACTTTTCTCTTGCTTTCGTTGTCCCCTTGCAGCTTGCGCGTACGTCATTACAGCGTCCTGGCGTTTCGGTTCTTGTGGTATAGGAGGCCATGCAGGGTTCATGGTGTTTATGTTTGGCTCGGACGCATCATGCTGTTGCGTGCAACTATAGATGATGTCATGTTAATATTGAAGAGAAGCCGCCTTGTTCTCCGGGCATCCAGAGAGCGAAGCAGCATGGGACCCCTTGCAATTGGTACGGATCGGTTGTGTTATTCGTTTGCAGTTCTCGTGATGATGGTCTTCAGCGCATTTTCTACAGCGCCTTGTTCCTCGGCAGTTTGTCGACAAATGTTCGAACCTCTGACAATTATAGCAGCGTCTTGCTGGGCTTAGATATTGCTCAAGTGCATGGCTGGTAAATCTAAGGGATACTTTCTCTGGAAGGAGTCTGTCATATCTGAATTGTAAAATCACACTTCTCAAAGGGTGCGATGCTACAGTGCTATCTTCTTGTCATATGTAACGGGTCTAGCGCCTAGCCGATGTCCCTCCTCCTTTCTTGAATATTCTGTAAATTGCTCTTCTGTGTAACCTAGAGGCACATGTCTGATTTTGCCTACAATTCGCATGTTATGAATGACCACCAGCAAGCCAGCCACCAGCGCACACGAGAACAAACTCTTTGCTGAAGCAAGAGAGCTCACAGTGACTGAGAAACTTTCATCTTTGTTCACTCGGAAAGAATACACTTTCTTTTTTTTCTAGTGCAACATTTTCCGAGGCTACAACGTTTACGTTTACTTTCCAGAAGATTCTCATTCTCTGATTGATTGATTGATTGATTGATTGATTGATTGATTGATTGATTGATCGATCGATCGATTGATTGATTGATTGATTGATTGATATGTGTGGTTTAACGTCCTAAAACCACCGATTGATTATGAGAGATGCCATAGTTGAGGGCTCCGGAAATTTAGACCAGCCGTTGTTCTTTAAGGTGCACCCAAATCTGAGCACACGGGCCTACAACATTTTCGCCTTCATCGGAAATGCAGCCGCCGCAGCCGGGATTCGATCTTGTGACCTGCGGGTCAGCAGCCGAGTACCTTAGCCACTAGAGCACCGTGGCGGGGCGTTCTCGTTTCCTATATTGGTCGGAATACCACAGGAAGTCCCTCAAATCTACTCTTTTTATGTGTCACTTGAGTGAAATAATCTGCTTCCTCATCAGATCCAATATCTTCATCAATGAAGGAGTAGGTCGATGTCCCCCCCCCCCTGCATGTTGTCCGTATGCTCTTCCACTCTCACCTTTTTCGCAGAGCTTACTTCGTTCGACATGTCCTCAGCTTTCCTCGTCGCCTCCAAAACGAGTGTTGGTGCCCTGATGTAAGAAATCCTGGCAGAACCAGGTTGACTCACATGCTCTTCGGTTTGAAATCCCCGCTGGGGTAAAGTTGGTCCTTGCCGCATTTGCACACACTGGCGGGTTCCGTCCGCCACGGTGACGGTGAAACGTCGGCGCTCAGTATCGTAGCACGACTTCCTGCTATTGGGGGTCACCACTGATGTTGCCCTCAACACTGTGAAAAGCTTTTCGAGGCTAGCAAAACCTAATTTGCAAGAACACAGAAAGCAACGAACGTTCTCTTGATTTGATTTCTATAAAACTATCACACATACAAGCTCTAGCGGATAGGCCAAGGAAGCGTAGCGTAATTTTTTTATGAGAACTACAACGATTCTTATGAAATAATTCATATTAAAATACAAATATAGTAGGAAAAACCACACAGAAAAAGGGAAAGGACGAAAAAAGAAAAAGAGAAGATAATTTTTGATCTTGTGAGGTTACCAGACAGCTGGGTTTAGTTTAACTAAGTATTCAAAACCTATGCGTTAAAACACTTATTTTACCTTTACCTTACCTATGCATATTCTTGGCGTAATCACAATCCCAATCGTTCGTTTGACTCTCTCACGTCATTGCCATTGTGTGTCATTACCATCATCATCGTCGTGTGTGTGTGCGCTTTGTTCGTTCGTTTTCTGAAGTCTTGCCTCGAATTGATGCTGTTGCAACCAATACGTCATAATATTTGTATCAGTGTTCATTTCAAGTGAAAATTAGGCAATCCAGAGTAACCGAGGCCACAAAACGTGAGTATTCATATATGTGGTGGGCCTCAAGATCCACCGGTTACCAAGCTGTCGTGCAGGAAAAGAGACGGCACGTCTGGAACGAACGCTCTTTAAAGAAACATACAAGAAAAGCTGTGATGGCGATGGCTTTGTATCCTAGAACGAGTGGAAGCTCGTGAGGAGCAATAAATGGCGATGACTATAATGAACGGCCTCTGCTAGGCTGATATAGACAAAGTTCTTCGCAGTTGCGCAACAATGCCAACAGCGACGTCGATATTAGCGACACCACAAGTGGTAAGGAAATATGAAGCGCTGGTGCTCGCGAGGATAGTAGCCCTGGACACTGTGCATAAGGCAGCTTCAGCAAATGGCACCTAACTACAATTTACGTTAACCCGACCTAACGGCTTGACGGCATTCGAGTACATATGTGACGTTTAAAACATTTGATAGGCGGCACTTCAACCACAAGTGACGTTTCAAAACAGTATATAGGGTCTATTTGAGCAGTAGTTTCTAGACCTGGCGGGGCTATGTGGTAGAATACTTGTCTGCCACGCATAATTCTGGGGCTTGACTCTTGGTGGAACTATAACACTTGTTCTTTGAATTCGTTGGGTTAAAACTGCCGATGTCAGCATTTATTAACGCTTACGCGTTAAAACGACTCATGTCCGTTCTCGCCATTCTTGGCAATCACATTTGGTGCAAGCCCGCATACCTGTGGGTACGTGCTGCTTGTTTGGCGGAAAGTGTCTGACGACTTAAGCGACGTTATTGTGACATTGTTCGTGTCATGACCAGAGAGTCATATTCGTCAAACCATCATATCCTCGCATATAAACTTTAGTTTACCCTAAGTAAATGGGGTTGAACATGAGCGCCCCCAGTCGCAAGAGGAAACGCAGACAGACAGAAGCTAAAAAGGGTATCCAGTACGCAAAGAAATGCTTCGTATTTAAAATAAGTGAGCAAAGGGTATAGTCACAGACGCGAGAACAAGTCCTTTTGCATGCATTAAAGAAGCAGGTGATTACTTTCTAGCTGTGGTATCTGTATGCTTTGTACACTCCTCCCCAATAGTAAAGTAGAAGGAGTGAATCAGTTGCTACCAGAAAGTACACTCATCCCCAATAGTAAAGTAGAAGGAGTGAATCAGTTGCTACCAGAAAGACGACAAGAACGCTTGTCATCTCCATATGCACCTTCTGCTCATCTTTTTTCGAGGTCTGCCTTTGTTTGGACATCAAACTGACGTAAGATCTGCGACTAGAAGCTAGGCAATTTAACAGTACTGCCCGTGTGATTGGATTAGTTCTTCGGGACGTTTAGGCTATGGCACCTGAAATATGGACTTGTTCGCGATGCTTCAAGACCACTCAGCCTTGCGTAGTGCAAAACGGCAAGATGATTGAGAAAAGTCGCTTGTGTCGCAAGTGTAACTGTATCAATAACAAGCCCAGAGGGCTTTGGCACTTACCGAGGACCACTTTCTTCAAGAATATGCTCGTCACCTCTACGTTGGTGGTGAAGAATAGGCATGAGAATATCGTGAGCAAGTAGTGTGGGGATCCTAGGGCTGCTTTCACGTATCTCAGTCGTCCGCCGCCTAGGTACTTCGCCTGCAGTGGTGCAGTGTCACACTCTTAAGACGCTTGTCTTCCTTTTTTTCTTTTATTTACACAGTACGCGGATTAGCTGTTTCGCTGCACTTTAAACATGCTAATGCAGCGCGTCCTGGTATCGGATGGTCTGTCTGTATGCATATCTAATATCTACGGATATATATATATATATATATATATATATATATATATATATATATATATATATATATATATATATATATATATATATATATCGTTTCATATTCCTAGATTCCTGCTTTCTAAACGGAAATGTACTGCAAACAACTGTCTGTTCGCAGGAGGTAACGATTCACCTCTAAATATATGCTTGATTTACACGCCCATGCACGCGTGCATAAAGTGCAAATATGTTAGTTCTCATTATTGCCGTGCGACAAATCTGGGCTGCAAGAAATGCAAGTGATTGCATCCTCGGCAATAAGTAGAATGCAAAACTGGTTTTTCTGCCTTGGCGATTGCGTTTCCTGTGGTGGCAAACACCTTAACGTGACTTGATATCATTTACGGCGGTAACTAGACCAATCAAGTTACTTGTCTTTTGTTACTTGGGAAGGAATGTGGCTTTTTATATGGGACAATCACAGCCCTTCCTGCGTAGAACTTGTCACTGCTTTGCGATTTCTAAAGAACGGCTACTGGTAACTTTAGTTGAATAAGTTCGCCAGCAACACCAAAACGCGATACAGCGTGGCTGCCACCTCCTTCAAGACGTCTAGAATTGGCAAGGGTCATCGATCATCAGCCGTCGAGTGACTTCACTTCGTGATTTTTCGAGCTAGCTTTCGATGATGCCACGTGTACTAACACCACTGCGATCGTCGATGGGAATGGTGATGAGATTCTTAACGTCAGCTAGCTTCACTCTCTTTCTGCTTCTGTTTCGGTTTTGGTGGTGAAATTTATGCAATTTTATTACTCCACAACATTTACCAGAGACCACAATTTGGGAATCAATTTTTCACACCAAAAGCTGGAGTTCGCCCAATTCACCCAATCCACCCGACGCCCTGTCTGCAACTATAATAAAATGTTGCCCTAACTGACATCTAGCCATTGTAAAACGTCTGCCACAACAGAAAAATGTAATTGTGATGACAGCGAGCGAACATTGCCTGTCTCTTACTAGACACATTTCTTGAAACGCTGCGCATATAGTCTTACCGTGGCATGGGTGCCTGATTTCTTTTTATTTTTTTTATTTTTTTGCTCCTTCGACCAATACATTGCCTATAAACGTGCGATTTTTCGCTGACAACAGTAGAGCTACGCAACAGTACCTCAATATTCTTGGCGAAGTCGAGCTTTCTGATTCGTGACGTGCCTACTTCCAGTGCGATGCCCAGGAAGCTTAGCGAGGCCCAGAAACTGACGGCGACCGTCATGTCGTGCCAAAGCCAGATGAAGGAGAAGGCCAGTGCTGTGCCCAGCAACCGCCAGATGATCTCCCATTCGGATTCCATCATGGGCAGGTACAAATACCTAAGCAGAGAGAACGCATCTTGCGAAAACTCCAATTGTGCTGAAAACATTTTAAAGCGACGTTTTAATGATTAAATGAAAGAAGTGTAAATGTAAGGACTCGTTTTCTTTGTTAGACACAATATTACTTGGAACTGACTCACCATGATGTCTAGTAAAGAATAGGGGGTTCTGTTCTGTTCTGTTCTGTTTTAACTGTTTTGCTGTGGAGAGGTTGAAGAGCTTATTGCCTCGGCTACTCCATATCACAAAGTTCTGCAGCGAAAAATAAAATAATAATACAAAACGGTACCCAAAAATTAACAATACGGAAAAGAAAAAAGAAAACACATAATAGCACACTGAAACCAGTTCAAATAACATGCCAATACACAGTTTTCTTCACGCAGTCCACACAGTCATAAACTATTTACACGCACACCTTACTACTCTAATGCCAGTATATGCATGACCACATTTTACATAATACCCATCTCTGGCTGTCAGTCATAGGCGCTTGTCCAGCCCGGTCTCCACTAAAAATTCTGTCAGGAATATTATTGCCTTTTTCTGAAGATGCATCTCAGGCGATGGTCCAAGTAGTTTCTTTATTGTGAGGGGCCGTCTCTCCAAACTTGCTAATTTGTTCTTTAATTTTTCTCTTTCCTTCGCGTATTTCACGCACTCCAAAAGAATATGGCGAACATTTTCTTCTGCATGACCACAATGGCATTCCGGTGAGTTGGATCGATGTATTTTGTGCAGGAAGCTGTTTGTGTATGCTACTTCCAATCTAAGTCGGTGGATCAATGTCTCTAGGTGTCGTGGGAGGTCTGTCGCGATGGAAAATTTTCTGTGTGGATCAGCTTCATAAAGTACCGTTTCCTTTGATTTAGGGCTATCAAACCACTTCTCCATCGAACAATTGTTAGCTCCTTGCGATATAAAATTTCGAATATCCGTCCCAGATATAGGGATTGTGCAATCCCGTCCTTCCTTCAATGCTTTCTTCGCGAGACTATCAGCATCTTCATTTCCCTTTATTCCAATGTGGCTGGGTATCCATTGGAATACGATGTTGTGACCCTACGATGAGGCATATTCCACAGTTTCTGCGATACATTGTGCTATTTCACCATTTCTGTAAGGTGATCTCACATTTCTGATTAGCTGAAGGGCAGGTTTGCTATCAGTGCACATCACCCATTTTCGTGGCTCGGGATTCTCGCAGATAAGCTTAACTGCTTCAAAGATAGCCACCAATTCTGCTGTCGTCGATGAAGATTTGTGCGATAATTTGTACATCCTCTTTTTCTGACTTTCTGGTATAAAGACCGCACAGGCTGACGCTTCTTCTGTGCATGATCCATCTGTATATATCTTCGTTTTTTTCATTATGCATTACATAAAGCTGATGAAGTACCAACTGTGCCGCTACTAGAGGTGCCATGTCTGATTTCTTCTCTATGCCGTCTATTTCACGGATAACGTTGAGAAGTGGCAGCGTCCAAGTTGGTTTTGAAGGTTTCCATTGTTTAAATTCTGGTACTACTGCTTGAAATGATGATATAGTATCCTGTAGTCTCGTTGCCGTTCTTTGTGTTAGTGCACCAGATAAAAAATGACTTTCATGTTGCGTGGAAATTCTAAATAAATTTTGAGATGTTTCTTTAGTTCGGAGTACTGCCAAAAGTGGCTCTCGAGCCTCCGCATACACTAAAGCACTGGAAGTTGACCGTGGTAAACCCAGACATACCCTCAAGCTCCTTGCCAATAACAAGTGAAGTCTCCTTTCGGTGGAGGCTGGAAGTCCGTGCAGCAGGGGCAGTGAGTAAGTATAGGGGGTGTTATTAGAAGTGATTGTAATGTGAACGTGGGGAAGAAACGTAAATCAAAACACAGCTTGTCACCGATAGCGAGTGAACCTGCGGCCTTCGAATAACATGTCTGATGCTCTGCACCACTCAGCTACGGTGATAATCACGCCTGTTCGCTCTTTACAAACAAGTGCGCCTGACACTCACTGGCTGTTCCACAGCTTCCGATGGAGGACTTCCTGTCATGTTTCACACTATGCGATCCGGCAGCTCGGAGAGTTTTCGCGCCTTCTAACTGTGTTCGTGTTTGTTGGATGCTGTGGTGGTACGCCTGTAGTGCCAAATTATGTCGAGCAGATACTTCGGGAAGCCGTGGAGCGATGGTGATACCGTGCGAAGCTTCTGTTTGGAGGTTACAAACTGCCGGATCTGTTTGACGATGACGCTGTGTGGTTTGCCTTCACGTCAGGCTCGAGGAATCTGCGTCCCGTAACGGCATAGCTGCAGATATTTATGTGTACCCCGTTGACAACGTCTGTTTTTATACGAGGGAACAGTTGAAGTGCCTCATCATTGGAGAGGCTTACAACATGTTCAAAGTGGCAAAGTGAAACAACTGAAGTCCTTCAAGGCAGGAAAGCATGGCGACTGTGGTTACGGCGTTCTTCACGTCGTGGTGATGGTTAAGGCCAGCCGAACACTCTCTAAGCAGTACCAAGCATTGTGCGCCGTAAAAGATTGCGAAACTGTTGAAAGTACTCATTGCCTTTGTATGACCGGGTAAGTACATGATTCATAGGGCAAATTTTAGTTCCTCAATGCCCCAACTGTTGTTTTCTTGCACCTGCGTGTGTAATCCGACTACAGTGGACTGATGCTAAATTTAACACTTCGTGAACTCTCTAAACGTCATAATAGCACCCAGATAACTGCGAATGCATGCGGAACCATGCGTGTGTGAAAACATTTTTCAATCAGTATTGTAATTGCGGAGCTTTAACGTCCCGAAGCCTCTGGACGTTGCAGATGGACGTCGCAGTGAAGGATTGTGGATTAAGCATTACCTGCTGTTTTTGAATAAGTTTCATCGTACAGCACAGAAAGTTTTATGTATTTTGCCATTAAAAACACTCGACTGCCACATCGGGATCGAAAACACAAAGTTTTGATCAGCCACAGAACAGCAGTGCGATTAAGTCAGCGTGGCGAGTGGGAGCAGTTTCGGAAAACCATGCCGCAATGGCTCCGATGGTGCTCAGTTTTTGACATCGGGAAAACAGTGCATTCATGCTAAAATAAATGCTCTCGGGGCAAGAAAAATTGTGAGTTGCTATTCTGTAGTATTCTACCGTACAAAATTCCTACTGTCTTGTTAAGGGCACATTACTTACTGTTAACCATCAACTTAATTATGCCTAAGCCCCTTTCCAATAATGATTTCAGAATCAAGGCACTGTCGTTTCAAACACCCTCCCCCGGCTCCCTGGTTGATAGACGAGTACTAGGCGAGTGGCCCACATGGGCGCATTTTCTCTCTCTCTCACTGGCCGAGCCCTCGCTCTTGGCACTTTCGACTTCTTTCTACATACCCTGTAGAGGCGAACTCTTCTCGTTTACAACTAGTCTACACAAGCTCCGCCGTGCAAACAAAAGTAATGTCGCGAATTTAGAAACAATGGAGCCTTGTTGCATCATTGCAGATTACGGTCAAATCATAAGCCTTATGTTGTAAGGCCAGAAAAATTTTCGATGGCATGAGTGTCATGGCGGAGGCGGTATTGTAGCATCAACGTATCATACAGCACTTAGCATTCAATGATATTTCGTTACCTGTATATCTATCTGTGTTACAATCGATTATGCTGAAAAAAGTATGCATATGCAGCACATAGAGCAGGCTGAAGTTTGTATACGCCCGAAAGACTGCTTTCAGCTCTCTCTTCTCCCAATTATCATGTTCGGTAATAGCACAGTGTCTGATATATAGAGTCTTCATTAGGTGGAAAATGTTTTTCATTTTACTGACGAGCTTTAGAGATCCATGCAGTAAACAGTAGCACAGTGCCCGGTCAGCAGGAGTTGACTGACGGTAATAAAAAATCAGAGAAAAACGCGCAAGGTTCAGCTGCCCCCCCCCCCCTTTTTATTATTTAGAACTTTAGTGCATATTACGTTAGTGAGTAGGGGTCTTACTTTTTGATCCACAAATGGAAGCCATGGTCGAAGTACCTGTAAAATAAGAAAAAAAAAACTTTTTAACGGCCTTTATTATGCACATTTGGCTTAGGCGTCCAATTACATTCAATCAAAAACAATGTGGACTGCCTCCCTTAATATACAAGAACTATGAGGATCAAGCAATTTTCTCAATTTTAAATTCTGGATTCAATTTATTATTGCGAGTTAGTGCGTTCGTGGGCCTATTGTCACCAATCACAACATCACGCCAGTTAGTCGAGCCCATGAACTACAGGAAACACATATGGGTTTTTTTGTATGCCTTCGTGGTACATTTGGATGGCTGACATTTTATTTCTCTTTTACTTTTCATCGCGACTACATGTCTTCATCAGTGCTCTTCGTCAAATTATTTATTTTGACCCACAAATTTTCCTTCTGAACAGAGTGCCAGGTGAGTCAACATTGCCCTCAGATTTACCCCCATAGTTGCTTTTTAAGGCGGAAGTTTTTTTCGCTCTACATTTATTTTTCTACTTGCAGCGGAGTGAGCATGGCTTGAGTTTCCTCATGTTCACATATGGCCATTTCGAAATTTTTGGTGTACTTATCTTTGTTTGAAACTTGTACAAGCCCTAGTGATGCCTCCACGTTTAAAATTACATTTGCAGGTTCGTATAGCTGCCCTGAGACCAAATTTTAAAGACAATAGTTTTCCTTGGGATACTTGAACGCAGTCTGCCTGCCTGCCTGCCTGCCTGCCCGCCCGCCCGCCCGCCCGCCCGCCCGCCCGCCCGCCTGTCTGTCTGTCTGTCTGTCTGTCTGTCTGTCTGTCTGTCTGTCTGTCTGTCTGTCACAAAATTTAAGCCACCTGGCCGAAGTTTAAGCATTTGCGCTGAACGCCCAGCTTTCTTGAACTGTACTGGGGGCTGCTTTCGTGCATGTGAACACTGTCGGTCAAAAAGCAAATATTACGCATATTTGAGGCCCAACATCAATACGTAAGTATTAGGTAGATTAAGAGGTATGTTCTTTTACTGGAAGATCCGCGCACACGCAATTCTAAAGAGCCTACTGTTTTTAGGCTGCGCTGAAAATGCACTCCAACACATGAAAAAGCCCTCTATCGACTATATGTTGCTGCCAGCTGTTGGTGGTCCTGGTTTTACTCAAGCTCATGTTTTTTTTTACACAACTGCTAAATGGCAGACGGAGCAGCACAAAAAGGGACAGCACCCTGAGCGGGGTACCGCACATGGAAGCACCCTAACGCAGTGCCATATCTCACGCGGATGAGACCAGGACTGATATAGTATGACCGGCAGAAGAATATCATCTTTCGGCATTCACAGCGATGCATGCAGGTACGCGGCCAATTTTTCTTCGACACATCATACAGTAAGGTTAGCCAATAAATTTATTTGAAGTTTAATCTTTACCGAGCATTGAACAGCGTGCATGCCAATGTGCAGCTCAAGGAGAGAGACGTAGCCCTGTAGTGTATGTAAATGAAAATCCCGCGCAATATCTACGATACATAGCATCTTACCTCAACATGTGGGAACATAGGTGTGAGCTGGCGACGCACTTGGGCGGTGGAGGAAGGTCAATGCCCTCTATTCTGGCGAAGGCACATGGTACGCCGTACCGCACCAGGTACTTGATGAAGAACATCACGCCCACCGTAGCACCGAAGCCCAAAAGAGCAGTGAGTTTCAGCCTTGAGACGAGGTATGGCGCCTTGGACAGCGCAAAACTGAATAATAATAATAATAATAATAATAATAATAATAATAATAATAATAATAATAATAATAATAATAATAATAATGTTATAATAATAGTCAACTGCTAAACAAAAGCCTCTCCTAGTGTTGTCACATACACGTTGTATGAGCTGATTTTGTTTTGAGCCCGTGAACTTCTGAGACAGAAAGTAAATAGAAAAAATTAGAAAGGTCAACCAGAATCGTCACAACTGGTTTGCTACGCTGTACTTCTCAGACTATGCTGAAATATCTATGACTAGACAGTATACCATACTGAACCTTTTCTGCTATGAGTTTTTTTTTGTTTTTTTTTAAATAGGGTGACATTTCATTTCACAAGCACATTGACCACCGAATTGACGGGCAATAAGCAAAAAAACATTTTTTCCCATGTTTTTTTTTGTGTGTGGGAAGAGGAAGAGAACTTTATTTGTTGAAAGGTGAAGAAATCAAAGAATTCAGGTGGAGTTACATGCCTAAGTGTGTCACAAGCAGCCTATAAGTCTTCAGAGTTAACACTTCTTTAAAAAGGGTAACTCGTTGTTCACAGTAAAATCCATGGTGTCATATATAATGACATAGCTTCATATATGAGCAAAGTTCGAAAAAACAAAGAAACAAGCGAGCAAACTAGCAAACACTAATAGTTTATAATTAGTGATCACAGCAGAGTCTCTGACAACTTTTAAGTGAGTTAACGGGGTTCAATACGACACCAGACGCAACAACCGTGCTTTTTACAGAGCCTTCAAGGTATACAAAACGACACATGGTCCGAGAGCTACAAACAAGACAGTTAATCCGTGCAATATACTTGCGGGTGTCGCTTTGCAATCGTGTAAAAAATAGAACACGTTCGTGAAATAAAATTCCTACAAGGCCGGTTAAGACTGACAGTTGGTCTAGTTGGCCCGCTCCGATGATGAGAAATGTGCGTTGTGGCTACGCACAAAGATTTAAGTGTACCGGTCGACTTATCAGTGAGCATTAAGCAACTGATCGTTCGAGTTGCTTGTTAACAATTCTTATTGCGATGGGCTGAACCTACCCTACTTTAACTCCGCTAGAATAAAGAAGTCTCGGTATTATAGGCTTCAACTTCAACGCTACAATGAAAATAGCATCTAAAAATTTTTCCCGCAATAACTCAACTAACTCGATTAGTACATTGACCCTAATTTACCTGCATAATATGACCACTGTTTGTACAGTCCCACTCAATATAAGTAGCAACTTACTCAAACTGGTGCCAATACTGCTAAGCAGCACCTAAATCGAGGAAAAAAAATTCGCGATATAAATCAGCTTATTTAGCGGTACTTTCTGAACCAACTTAACCTTTGCCTGTGTCATTGGTCAGGTTTGGGGTCACTTTAACCACAGTCAGCGTGTCGAAACTCATACTGACTGCGACTGCACATAATCATTCCCATTTGTAGGTGCCATGGCGACCAATTCACTAAGCTAATTTAGAAACCATTATTCTTTAACAGCTTCTACTACAAAATTTACATTACACATCACTACTTCTCGAGTTGCTACCCCTCGAGTTGCTACCCCTCTAGCGCGACATAAATTAGCTTATTCAAGCCCAAATGGTTTTTCTAAGTATCTCCTGAAATTCAGTTTGTCCTGTACGTCACCATTATTGCCTACGTTTACAAGGTTTTAATATCTGAATCGACGCTTCCTCCATCAAATTCACAAGGCTTGCACACTTTCGGGACTCCTCAACAACATCACTGAGCGCTTTTATCTTTTTCTGGTGCAGAGCAGCCAACCGCAGCCCAGTTAACGCTCATGCTTTTCTCTTAAAACATTGTTCTCCTTCTTGATTTAAAAAAGTAAGCCTCTGATGAAGCTTACTGTCCTAAAACATATACCTAATTATCAAATGCTTATTTACCACCTAGCGGCGTTCGACTGGGTTTGAGGGTTCCTCATGACAAATTTATTCTTTTCCCTGATCTTATGAATCACTCATTCGCAACACGTGAGTCATTACCATGGTTTAAGATGCAAGCACTTTAGGTGGCGACACTCACGAGACATGATCGACTAGATAAAGCAACAGTGACGCGCGTCCGTTGGACTGCTGCCGGCATTGTGCCTGTCGGCAAGTAGACACAACTTGAAGACAGAAAGGGGCGTTGCTACAACAACCAGTCCTTCACAGAAAATTTGAATTAAATGACACAGGCGTGTTGTTCGTGCCAAAGAGTGAAAAGTGATTACTGTTGTCTGCAAGCATGACGGAACTTGAGTCACGTGGAAAGCACGATATACATGCCTCTCTATGGATCGTATGCCAATATTTGAAGTAGTTCTCGCACGTCCTGTGAACGTAATACTCCTTGTGGCGTAACAGATACGCACACAACTGACGTGCTTTCCAAATTTTCGTGTCAAACGGTTCTTTCCTTAAATGCGCTAGTTTTCGTGCAGTCGCTGATGGTAGGTGGGGCACTCGTATCGGCAAGCTGGATCTGCGAAGCACACGAACGGCGGGGGGGGGGGGGGGGGGACGCACATGCTGTTGATGATGACCAAAGCAGAACTTGAATAAGACCACGTGACTGTTCGTAAAAAGAGAAGCGACCACTTAGTTACCTTGACCAATTTGTTTGCGTGCTTTACATAAATACTGTCCGCTGTTGCGCCAAAATCTATTTCCGCGGCTCCAATGATAACGTAGAGAGAAGTTCACGACCGTGTGATGACCCGCTGAAAGAAACATTTACGACGGACCCTGCGCATACCTTCTCACTGATTTTACCATCTCTTCTTGCCGTGCACGAAAAAAGGATTAAAGTTTTTTTTTTACATGGTACAATTAGCGGACCATTTTAAGAATGCCACAAGAAACTTGCTCAAAAAAAGCAGTGAATGCATTATGTAATGCAGTAAAAAAAAGACAACCTGACTACGTCTGTAACAAAAAAGAACGCTATTTATTGCACGTATGATTGTGTTGCATAAAGATAAAACAAATGGTCGTGCAGCGAAAATTATTTATTAACATTCACAACTAATCATCTCATCTGTGTATTGTTTGCTGCACACTGCATTGTTTCTGCTGAGCAGATGGTCTTTCTTGGAAACCGCTTGAATCCATGCTTTGAAGCATTCGGGATCAGAAGGAACATTAAATATTATTACAATTTTTTGGCACGTATGGTAAGCTCACCGGCAACCACTAACGAAGCACTTTCTTCCCATATTCACTCACTGTGTGAACGTCTTCTTTGAGCAGATTTCATTCATGGATGCTCACACAAGTTGCTCACAAGTTCATTTCGCAAACGTGAATTATAAAACGCCACTTAGTACTTCATGAAACGTGCCAGAAGCAGCCGAATGACTTGTTTTTTTTTTGTTTTTCTTTTGCGAGTGCGAAGCGCGACGCTTTCGAAACACCAGCATTGCCGCCATCTTCATTGGTTGCTATATCAACAATGTGCAAAAAAAATTTTCTACATTTAAGTGGCGCTGACTGGCCGATAGGTGCGCTGCCGGCAGTGGTCCAACGGACGCGTGTCTCTGAAATGAAATGAACTTTATTAGGTCCTGAAGAACTGGTTAGACAATCCCCTAAGAGGGGTCCACCGCAGTTGCTGGCCGCGTCCGCGCCGGCACTGGATGACCCAGCGTGGCCCATGCCTTCCGCCCATTCGCAGGCCTCCTGGACTGCCGAGTATTGGACTGAGAGTTCGGGGCTTTTAAAAGCTCTCTCCCAATCTTCTTTTGTGCTGAACTTTACGCCATGTAACGCCGGGCACTGCCAGAGCATGTCAGTGAATGTGCACCTATGTGCCTCAAAACTAGGGAATTCTGGAGCTATGCCATCAGCAAAATGGCTGAATGTGCTACGGTAGTGGAATGAACCTGCCTGTAGCATCCGAAAAACCGATGACTGTGACCGAGTGAGCTTAGAATTCAAAAGCGGGTACCTCTACCTAGACAACTGATAATGTGACGTCACTTCGTTAAAGGTGCCAAGTGTATCTTTAAGGTTATCTGCGAACCCACCTTCGTACCCGCCCGGACCGCCGCGGCACGTGATTTCTCGCGCACGGTTATGGGCAAGTTCATTGGCGTTTGGAGGAGTCGGATGCACCTCTGAGCTTATGTGGGCCGGAAACCAGGTGATTGTGTGGTGGCCTTCTACACCCCTGGAATTTAAAATAGCGGCAGCCTTTCTAGATATTACCTCTGGGGCAAAGGCCCGGGCGGCAGCCCTGGAGTCAGTAAATATCTCTACGTGACCGCGATGATCAACGACCACAGCTGCAAAACGATCGGAGTGGTCTTACTGCGCCACATCGACGAAAGCTACACTGCCCGTGGACCTAGCCACGAAATCAAGGAGATAGTTGGCTCGTGCCTTTCGCCGGCCAACATTGTACTGTGGATGGACGTTACGCGTGAAGGGTGCCACCTCATACGTGCCCTTCATTATTACTTCATCTGATTGATCGTGTCCCATAAAAAAGCTGAAAAGTGTCCCCACCTAAAGTATTTGTATCTTACACCATGGTCATTACCAACTTGCTACCTCTCTAGCGGGCCTTAGTTTTATTTGTCCAAGACACGGGGGTTTTCGCAAATAAATTTCTTGTGAAAATGATCTTATCCTGCTCTCCTCTGTGGTGTACATTATTCTGTGGGCTCTAATTTGCGCATTAGCGCTGTCTCTTTTTGAATTCAGTCTACAAACTCTTTCTAATGCTTCTCATCATCTTCATTTATATCCCTTTAATTAGCGCGATTTAGCCAACCGAGTCCTGTTTAGCTATTTCTCGCTTTTCTAGTGAATTCTCCCCCATCTTTGTTCCTCGAATTAAAGTAAAGGTTTCACTGAACTGTTGAGTACCCGTTGTTTATATTACGGTGTTTACGCAGGCCTTCAACCCCATTGCGATGTCTTACGCTTTATTCGAGAGTTCCCTTTGACAAATGAGCAACACTTAAATGAATTGCATAGCTACTGTTTTGCTATAATTTGTTTCTTCCGTTACTATTTCCCCATTCTCTCTGTTCCTTAGCTAATGTACGGGTAGATGGACCTTAATCACTCCGAGTTCTTCTGCCTTTAGTATTTTTTGAAAGCGGGCATTGTAGTATGGCAAAATATAACCTGAATAAAAATGGCATTGGACAGTGCGACTTGTTTTAACATCGATGACAATGTATAAATGGCTGATTGGGCGAGTTGACGATTCATCATTTCCTCAAATAAGTGCGCGCAAAGTAGAGACTAAGTAAGACAACAAAAAGTCCTTGGCATGATTAGTCCCAGTTTAGGTTACGCGCTCGTATATCAAGTATATTTATGATATGCACGTCCGACGTCGTCACTTACCTGTAGAAGTAGTGGCACATAAAATCCATGAGGAAAAAGTGAGCCACGGAGCGCAGCAGGCCGCGAACGCAGGCCCTGATCTCGTCGGACGACAACGGAGGCTTCGGTTTTGTCACCTGCTCACGCACCCCACCGGAGGAACGAATGAGTAAACATACACGATGGAAGTGACGTATCTAGGAATGTAAGCACACAAAATTACTTAAAAACTGTAGATAAGTTCCCAAATTTTAATGTTTTGAGGTCGTATTGAAGAGTGGTATTGACAGCAATTTTCGAAGGTGGCCTTACTATTCTATAGAAACCTCCTTCAAGCAAAGATGGCTCTGCGCAGGCGTTATGCTCAGTATAGTTTGATAAGGTATCATATTTTGAAATGAAAGTTAATTTTCATCCTGTTGACGTCGACTCTCTCGTGACGACAAGATACTGTGGCTATTCTGGTGACTCCACGTGCTGGTATGGGTAGTTGTGATGATGTAAGGTCACGAAATTTCAGCATGGTCACTTGTGCATCACAAGAAAAATTTGAAATGCCCGCCTGTGCGTGATGTCATACGATGACGTCATAAGATCGCCTGGCCTAACGTGTACCGGTTCCGGAATTTGTGCTTCTGGTGGTGGAGAAGTGGGAGGGGGGGGGGCAATGCATTTTCTTGACTTAGCACGTCTAAGTAACATAACGAGTGTGTTGTGGGCGCATATGCTTACAAGTGAGTTGCGGCTAAAACTAGCTGCATATTTTTTTCTTTTTCACGTTTGTTGTTTATTGTTGTTTCGTGCTTCTTACATCAGCCCTTCTGTTTGAGCCACGTGACCATCGGTATTTCTGCAAACAAACCCACAAACAAATAAATGTTGGAAGCTTAGGTCAGCAAGTTTCACTCGGGCTGAGATCAAGCGGGGTGTATGCAGTGTGTCCAAGTGAGTAACATATTCGTGAGTGTGAGTACGAGTGAGGCTGGCTCAGGAAAAAGTTTGTGAGTTTGATTCAGAGTGAGCCAATAGCGCAGCATATATTTCTTGAGTATGTCTGAGTTCTACTTTTTTTGCTAACTTATGGTTGGCGGGGTGTACATTATCAATCACACTTGAAGGTGCTCAGCGCTTAGTAATTGCACTAGGTTAAACAATCGGCGATGAGAATTCCTGCAAGACATAATGAGTAGCAGTGTAAGAGACACGCACTGTGACGTCCACATTTCATTCTAACTTTCCTACCCCGCTCTACTTCCACTGTAGTTTTTTGTGCCTCGTGCGGTTTGGTACTGCCTCCGAAACCGGCCCACTTTTCAGTGATCGAAGATTGCTATTTAAATACGTCATCAGATGACGACAAGAATTTCGGCTTAATATGACGTCATGATGTGAGTCATCGCTCGCCTGGAGATGGTGACGTCGGTTTTTGGAGGAGGCCCCACCAGACCAAACGCTCAGGTCAAATCTTACTAAGTCTTGCAAGACTCGCCGACGCAATCACCTACGCAAACACTTAGGGCTTCCACCGTGATAAATAGGCAGTAGGGCACGTACAGATGCATCGAAGTCTTCGTAGTTCTGTAACGGTCCTGTGAGCAGCGGAGGAAGGTACAGCGTGTATGCCAGTGTCTTCCAGTAGTCGAGAAAGTGGTGTTCTGGCCTGTCTGACTCTTCCGAGTCTCCCTCTTCATCGCGCCAGATCCAGTCCATGCAGAAGCTGAGGCCCCGCAGTGCCGTCCAGTAGAAGACCAACATAGTGACGTAGTAGGTGTTCCTGCCGTACCATTGGTAGACGACCTGTAGACAATAGAGTACGTTTGTCTCGGCCATGTGATCGCAAGGAACACAGAAAAGAAACCGAAAATTCGCTGTCATGCCTTCTTATCACATTTATTTACTCTATTATACACCTGGAGTTGAAGGAAGAAATGGTAGATAATTGAGTCATCACAAATAAAATGATTGAAGGCAGGTTTTTTCATACAGTATCTTAAGGCCAACATTCACTAACCTCCCTTAGCTGACATTAGTCAATATTAACCACTGCAAACCAGTGCTGGCAATGTGTGACTAAACGCCGTATGCGAAGTTGGCCAGGAATACCACGGCCAACTACATCACAACACGTTACAGACAATAAGTGGGGAAGGCACGACGAAGATGGAGTTGAATTGAAAATACTAGTACAGAATTATTCGTTCACATAGAGGCTGCGTTTACGCGCTATATTACATTACATACTTAACTTGTCTTGCCTTACTTAACTGCATACTTAGTTGTTCATTGGGTAGCCAACCGGATGTCTCTCTGGTTAACCTCGCTGCCTTCTCCGTTTTGTTGCTTTCTTTCTTCCTTAACTATCGAAACGTCGACCTTACCCGCCGCAGAAATTTCTTGACAACCGGCCGTCATGCAACCGAATATCCAAATTATGGTTGCAGCCATTGGTTCGCGCCTGTACTTGAGACGTGTCATAAGATGAGTACACACAGCAGCATTGAACGCAGTCTTGGTTTATTACAAATTATTTTGTTTGTTTAGTTCCGGACATTTTAGCAAACAGTTAATAAAATGAACTGACTATCACGTCCAGGAAGGGAGGGAGGAAGGAAGGAAAGAGACGAAAGGAAGGGAGTGGAGAAATCAACCACAAACACTTTTTCTGGTCAGCCACATTACGCTGAGGTAGGGTCGGGCACGTATCCCGTAGGCAGGATAACCACTGGTAAGTAAAAGTAACTGATTCGATTTCAAGAAAGGCGAACCCGTGAGAGCGAGACAGAAATTAGGTAAAAAGATGAGCCTCCAGGTATAACGTGGCAGCTGCAAGCTGAGAACCGGACTGATTGACGAAATATGAAGAGGCCTTTTTTCTGCGGTGCGCGTAATTAGGCTGCTGCTGCTGATGATGATGATGTCAACAATTATTAAAAGCGAATAGAAAGATGAAAGTGAGAGAGAAAAATAGGAAAGAAATAAAGAAGAAAACGGGCAATAAACGCCCCATCACGTATTAGCTGGTTGCAACATACAGTAAGAGCAGTCAAAGGCGTTCACTCAGGCCCGAAGTCTTCGAGAGATTTTTATAGCCCAGTATACTCATGACACTCGTTTCTAACTCACATCAAAGATGTCGTATTGGAAAACCTTGTGGTGCGTCAGGGCAAGCAGCGCGCCCCCGTAGCAGAGAGCAGGCACTCCCATACAAGCCAACCCGAAGAAAATGGCGTGCTCGGCGAAGATGATGGCGGCGCTCAGCCAGCCCAGCTTGAACGACACGAACAGCAGCGAGTAGGCCACATGGAAATACGGGACAACCTGCGAACAAATACGACCAAAATACGGTGTATTTTATGTCCAGTATGGGAAACGCAGACATTACAATAAAGGAAGTTGCGACAATCTTGGAAAGTATTGTTGTCTAGAAAAGCGCCTATAGAATGACAACTCCGGTTTGCGCGAATAATAGAAGCAAGGGATATGATGCAGTACACGCACTAAGTGAGCTGCAACTGCAACATCCACAAGGTAAAGTGATTCAAAGTTGCCAGTGTCATCAAGTCCAAAAGTGTTTTAAATGCGGATCAGCAAAGGCAGGCAGCATTTTCTCTGCACGAAATAACACTCATAGCTCGAACAAGTATATGCTCAGCATATGGTCGAAAGAAGTTTTAGTAATGTATGCTATTTTTTATTTGTTTGTTAACACACTGTGTTACTACCGAGAAAAACCTGACGGGATCTCGGCCTAGTTTTACCCAGATAAGAACACTATAGTTTGGAAGCTCTGTGAACTGCTTATAGGTTTTGGAACTTTAATTGAAGCTGACACAAAACTCAAAAGTTTATCAATTAATAAAACCGATGTGGTAAACTTTCGTGACACTAGACGAGAGCGAACAAAAAAAATTAAGAAAAAGGTCGCAGGTTCAGTCTCGGCCAAAGGAAAGTTGTCTTTTCGTTGATTTCACTACCGTCACACTTACTTCACAATTATTGCAAGCAGTTGAAACAGTACAATTATCTTTTCTTTGACCTTTTTTTTTTTGGCTTCACTATCTGCTATTTATTCATTAAGGCTGTGGGCAGCAACTCAGGTTCCTGCAAGTTATCTTTTTGCTCACTTTTCTTTCTTCATATTTACATTACAATTCGGTCTTATAACTGCCCTAAACTTTCCTTGGCATATTTCACTGTTAGACCTCAATATATATATATATATATATATATATATATATATATATATATATATGTGTGTGTGTGTGTGTGTGTGTGTGTGAGGGAAAGAAGTGTATACTTAAGGGCTCGTTTTTTTCTGTTTTAACACACTATTATTGAGATCTATATATATATATATATATATATATATATATATATATATATATAAATATATATATATATATATATATATATATATGGGAAAGAAGTGTATACCTAAGGGCTCGTTTTTCCGTGTTTTAACACAATATTAATGAGATCTAACAGACAGTATTGCCAAGGATTGTACAGGGGAAGTTATTAGAACCAATGGAATGTAAATAAGAAGAAATAAAAGTGGATGAAAAAATAGCCAGCCGTGAGCAGGAATCGAACCTACGACCTTCGAATAACGCGTTCGATGCTCTAACCACTGAGCTACCACAGCGGCCACCCCTCCATCCACTTTTTTGGGTCTATATGTGAATTTAGAAGTAGGAGTGACAGTCAGCGCCATCTATAAGCCAAACGACGAGTGAGAAAACACTCTTACCATGCGTGTTTAAGACTGCCCGTACCTTTTGTTTCCCCGTGTCATTTGGAAGCCGCCGCCTTGGTCTTCGCCGCATTCGTCCGCCTGGTGTTGTAAGGCCTCGCTGGTGGGAGTGGCTTTTTTTTGTGTGTTAAAACACGGAAAAACGAGCCCTTGGGTATACACTTCTTTCCCTTATTTCATTCAACGAGGGTCTCGTACTGGCAGACTTGGTGTGTTTAGGTTGTATACGAGGGACTATTAATCAGCTGCCCGCTCATAATAAGTTCACGTGCTACGTGACGCCAAACATGCGCATAAGAGTGTTTTCACACTCGTCGTTTGGCTTATAGATGGCGCTGTCTGTCACTCCTACTTCTAAATTCGCATATGGACCCAAAAATGTGGATAGAGGGAAGGCCGCTGTGGTAGCTCAGCCATTCTTTCGTCGGCACTCACGCGCGTCGGACGCAAGAATCATGTGCTCCGTTGGAGCGGCGTTTGCGGCACAAACTAGCCGCGGTAACAGGATGACCGAAGACCAAGACGCAGGATACAGGATTATTTTGCCACCACTGCCCAAGGGACGCGTCGCTCAAAACACTGTGTTTTTACACGGTGACGTGCGTGGCAGACCGTATCGAGTAGAAGATTTCCGAGACGCGCTCGGACCTACAGGACTACTGCCGGAGGTGTTGGCACTGGGGGCCTACGAGATAAATCATGTCTGGGCAGTCACCATGAACAACGCGGACGCTACGAGACGCTTGCTGGACGTGAAGGAGCTGAAAGTCAAGGGTCGACGCTGCTTCATCGTAGACCCCTAGGATCAGCAGGTGCGGCTGCGTCTTCATTGGCTGCTGTATGGCGTCAACGATGAAGACGTGAAAACGGCGTTGGCGGCTTATGGGAAGCTGGTACAAATCACCAGGGAGAATTGGCGTGTTCAAGGAGTCAGCGACAAGGGGTCAACCACACGAACTGTGCTTCTTAAGCTCAAGAGTGGTGTGAAGGTTGAAGATCTCCCGCATCAAATCAGGGTGGCTGGTGAACTCGCACTTGTAGGTTGCACCTGGTCGGCCAATGCAGTGTCTGCGCTGCCAAGGTACCGGCCATGTTAGAAGAGAGGTCAAGGTACCCCGATGCTCGCGTTGTCGGCGGTTTGGCCACAGCGAAGACGCGTGCATGCGCACGTACGCATCGGCTGTAGGATCAGCTGAGGGTGAAGACACAGCAGATTTGGTGATGGACGTGACCAAGGCTGAAGACGCGGCGAAAGGCGCAGGCGACGTGGTGAACCCAGAAGCTACAACAGGTACTGCCACACCGACTGGTGGTGATGAACCAACAGTACAAGCAGAAATAGAATCTGGGGAGGTTACTCAAGAGCCAGCCGGCCAAACCGCAGAAGGCTTCACAAGTACCCCATCGAAGGAGCCGGAGCCGGTGGAATTAACCGAACTTCCAGTGTCGTGCGAGAGTATCAGTGGTGGGGCGTCAAGCAAAAGACCCCGCGAGCAGTCTGCAGGATGGCGTGAGGCGTCCAGTGAAAAGCATGAAGAGGGGCCACCTGCGAAGGCGACTTCGTTCAGACGCAGCAGCTCAAGGCTGCGTCCCAACTCGACATTGGACAAACACTGGCCTCCTTTGCCCTCCAGTGGCACGGGTCCACCTGGAGGCTCCGAAGATGTCTAGCTCTATGCTAGACGCTGAAGGTAAGCATCATGCCCCGGGCTAACTTCTTCATGGTGTAGACATGGCTTTTGCAGCGAAACTTAGAGTGGCAACGTTAAATGTTCGAGGTCTTGCCGCCAAACGGAAACAGAGCCAAGTCTACAGGCTGCTCGTGGATCATGATCTGGATATACTAGCTCTACAAGAAACAAAAGTAGACGGTGAGGAGGAGACCCGGGGCATGGTGCTGAGGTTTACGGCGCGTTACTACGCAATTGTAAGTCAAGCAATAGGCACGTCTGCAGGCTGTGTTTTGTTCATTAAGAAGTTACCGGGTCTGGTAGTGCAAGATACCTTCTCTTGCCCGTCTGGTAGATTGGTTTCCTGTGATTTTGTATTCAATGAATGTCAGTGGCGTATAGTGTGTATTTATGCACCAACCATTTGCGAGGAGCGATCACTTTTTTTTCAAGCCTAAAGCAGCACTTCACTTTAGAAAGGAAATATGTATTACTTGGTGATTTTAACTGCGTCCTCAATGGGCGAGATCGAGCAAACGGACGCGCCATTTACGATAAAAGTAGTAGGACGCTAGCGGACGTAATTACTGAATTCGAGTTAGAAGACGTGGGCAGCTGTATAGAGGGAACGCGGGATGTGCGTTTCACACATTTTCAGGGGAATAGCCATGCGCGCCTCGATCGCATTTACGCGTCGCTTGAATTAATAGCTCACTGTAAGACATATGCTGTCTACCCTATACACTTCAGTGATCATTGTTTAGTTAAATGTGATATGGGAGAGAAAACAAAAGGTGGAACTTTCTCATGGGAGCTGTGGAAGATGAATTACACTTTGATCACTGACGAATATTTCTTAGATCAGGTAATGAACTGTATCAATGAAATAAAAGTGGACGATGAAGTTAAACTTGCAGAACAATAGGAAGAGTTCAAGCAGCGAATAAAAATAAAAGCTATTGATCGTTCTTGCGCATTGAGTTACGAAAGAAAAAAGACAGAAAAAGAACTCCGAAAGACTTTGGAAAGACTAATAGACTTGGAGTGCCAACAACCGGGAGAGTATAAAATTGACATACGCAATATTAAGCAGAAACTTGCACTGCATGACGAGGAACGCTACCGCGGTGCACTCTTCCGTGCTAGGGCTGAGGCATTAGCGGCTGGAGAGACGCCAACCAAAAGAGCATTAGGGGTGGAGAAAACGAACGCTCGACGGAATCATATCGAAAAAATAGAGAAGGATGGTCACGAAGTAACTGGTACGGACAGCATTTTATCCGTATTTTCAAGTCATTTTGAAAACCTTTTTGCGTGTAGACAGGTAAACCTAGAAAGATTTAAAGAATAATAATTAGGACGCATGCCGAAAGTGAGTGAGGAAGTGAAAAACGCTTTGGAATTATTTATATCTGCATCTGAAGTGGAACGGGCGATTGATAAGTTAAATCCCGGAAAATCTCCAGGACCAGATGGTCTTTGTGCCAAGTGGTACAAATGTTTTAAAAGTGAACTGTCTCCTATACTTGCAGGCGTTTTTAATGAGGCGAGGCATATCAGGCAAAGAAATTACCACCATCTTTTGGTGAATCGCGTACCGTTCTCATTCCGAAAACAGACGAGGCTGAAAAGCTCAGGCACATCACAGCGTACAGGCCAATCGCACTCACAAACGTAGACTACAAAATATTAATGAAAATTTTGGCAGCTAGACTTCAGTCAGTAATAAAAGATATCGTCGGTCCACACCAAACGTGTGGAATCAAAGGTCGGTCTATAGTAACAAACGTTCATATAATGCGATCCGTGCTCGAATGTGTTGACACCAGTCAAGCTCGTGTGGCCATACTCCAGCTGGATCTGGAGAAAGCGTTTGATTACGTTGCCCACGCACTTTTGTTTGCAGTATTGAAGCACATTAATGTTGGTAAGATCATTCTTGACGGAGTAGCCATGGCATATCGAAATGGGAGTTCGAGACTAATTATCAACAAGACAGTGGGCCCCCCCATTAGAATTGAGCGCTCAGTGCGTCAAGGTTGCCCTGTTAGTCCACTGTTGTTTTGCATCTATATTGAAACTTTATGTCGGTCGATATTGCAAGATGACATCATTAATGGGTTTAGAGTACAATCTTCAGAGGTCGAACTACTCGCATACGCTGATGATGTTGCGATTTGTAGCACTACCTATGTCGGTATTGAAGAATCAATCAGAGTTTCTAAATCTTTCGCCGAAGTTACAGGAAGCCACATGAACTGGGGTAAATGCCTCGGCTTCTGGCATGGATATTGGCCTTCAACACCAGAATTTTTTGCAGCCATTAAATGGACAAGAACGCCAGTTAAATATCTCGGAGTACCGCTCGAGTCATACAAAAGTACTGACGAATATTGGACACAGCAAACGAAAGAAATTAAAGAAAAAGCGAATAGGTGGAATGCAACTTATCTGTCCATGTTTGCTAGGGCTACTGCATGCAACTGGTTTTTTGTGTCTAAGCTGTGGTATGTGATGCAAGTGCTGTACTGTTCCCGGGTCAATGTGCAAAAATTACATCGGGTGTTTGCAATATTTGTGTGGGGGTCTAACTGGGAAAGGTGCAGTCGCACGAATTTGTTTAGACGGGTGAAGTGTGGAGGCCTTGGGCTAGGACATCTGTTTATCAAGCAGTTAGTAAATAGGTTTTTCTTTTTTCGTGAGACAAGAGATCCTTTCCTACTAACAGTATGTCAAACAAGACTAAGTAGACTGTTGCCCGAGTTTGTTGTGAGCACCCATGTTACCCCAGGGGCTGTGCAAGGATACATGAAAGAAGTAGTGGCCAGCGTGCGGTTTTTGTGTGTTCGCTTTTCAACTGACTACCTGTGGTCTGTTGGAAAGAAAAAACTGTACAAAGATTTATGTGACACGATGCTCCCCGTCCCACTGTACAGAGCGCTATATACAGCACGCAAGGGTCAGAACGTACTTAAACGAGTAAAAAAATGCCAGCAGCTTCAAGTGCGAAAACGTTCTTTCTCAAATTACACACTGGAACACTTCCTGTAAGAACCTTCCTAGAGGAGCGTGTGTTTTATATGCCTTGGGGATCTCACTGTCTAATCTGTAAGAAACCGGAAACTATTGACCATGTTTTCCTGCACTGTTGGGAAGGAGTTTATTTTTGGGACGTATTACAAAGGACAATCAAAAAAGAGTTTCCGTTAGACCCTCATGGTATCAGGTATTTGGCAATATAGAATGAGGATGGATTACCTTTAGATTTTATCATGATGACTGCCTTGCACAGTATATGGCGCTCTAGAATGGCTGGATTTCATTGTGACCCAGACAGAAGACCAGCAAGAGAGTATTTTAAGGAAAGAATCTCAAGATTACTTGAGGTAGTAAGAACAGACGAATGTGTACCTTTATGGGTAGAAAGGGTAGAAGTTCTACTGACCATGAAGGAATTCTAGGATGTGATGTGTTATAGTTATGCTTGACGGGCTAAGTTATTTTTAAGTTTTTTGTATTGTTTGTAGTGAATTGTAATATATCTTAGTAACCCGTTTGTGAAGTTTACCGGAAATAAAGAAAAAAAAAACCTGTGGTAGCTCAGTGGTTAGAGCATCGAACGCGTTATTCGGAGGTCGTAGGTTCGATTCCTGCTCACGGCTGGTTATTTTTTCATCCACTTTTCTTTCTTCTTATTTACATTCCATTGGTTCTAATAACTTACCCTGTACATTCCTTGGCATTACTGTCTGTTATATCTCATTAATATTGTGTTAAAACACAGAAATACGAGCCCTTAGGTATACACTTTTCTCCCTTATATATATATATATATATATATATATATATATATATATATATATATATATATATATATATATATAGCTCATGCTGAACAAGATCGTGCAGGTATAGTTGAATGTGAGAAGTAGTTATTGAGGCGGTCTTTTTCACAAAAAAAGAAGCGAAACTGTGTCACGCAAAGTATTTTATATAGTAGTACTGGTTCGAGTGCTTATTACGAAGCAACTTTTTTTATCGCTCTCAAGGCGCTACTCATCTAGAGAATGATAGCTTATTCATTTGTATTTAACTTTTTGTTTTGCTTTGGTGAAAATTCGCAACATATTCTGCGTTTATCATTTTTTTACGAAAAAGAAAAAAGAAAAAAATTTCGCCTGTTTTTTGTTTGATTTCATCTTTATGTGGTCCTATATTAAATGAAAAAATACCTTGGGAGCAAATGAAGCAAATATATTGCCAAAATATTGTGTCCATGTTTGGAAAAACAGCATTTATCTCATATTGCGACTCAAGTTTCGCAATGTAGTGGTAAAAGTAAAAATATGGCATCTATATTGTTGCATAATAGAGGCTGTCGCAATGAGGGTGCCTAAGGAAAAGATCGGAATGACAAACATTCCAGGCACTCGCTATTCTCACCGTTGGCACCACGTGAGCGAGCCCCCGACCGATGACGGAGTGCAGCAGCAGCCAAGGCCAGGCAGCGAGGATGAACTGTCTCACTTCGCTCCATTCTTTATCAGAGAGGTCCTGCGTAAGGTCAAAACAAGTTCGTCCAGGTACCTGGAATAGGTTACGTAGGTAACGCTAATAAAGTGAGAAAACGGCATAACACGGAGTCACTTCTATGGCGAAACAATTTTCGTCACACGAAGAAAGAGTGCTCAGACGGGACATTACTGAACCCACGGCGAACAAATGGACCTCCCACAGTGTGATCCAGTTGTTCGACATAAAGGAAGCTGCATGTAACTGTACACAACTCTATACTGATTTTCGGGTAATAGGACAACGACAACAGGTTAGAGTCTGCGAGAGATGGCTTGGTCGATAAGACCGGTAACGTGTAGGCTTTCAGTTAAATATTAAAATGTAATGTACGACCCTTATCTGCCGCAGTGTGACTATAAATGCGTACGCAATTTAAGAAAAAACATATTTGTCTTCTTCATCTACGCCTAAACAGGGACGAGAACTTCTGAATTCATTAAGTCACGTGGGTAGAAAACTTTTCCAAATCCTTGACTGCTTTGCCATGAGCAGCCGAAGCATGAGCTCATGGGAAGCCCTTCAAGTCCATCCTAGGAATGTCTCCCCCCTCCTTGATTTCCCCCCCTCCCATTAACACCTAAGCTTGATGACGTGTCACAACGGACCGTATAGAAGAACAGCGCAAAATACGGGACAGTGAAAGGCAAAGAAACACACAACGCTATCTTGTATTTCACGATGTTCTGGTATTAGGTTCGCAGAACTAACTAGCCCACCTCTACAATAGACCTTCTCTATCGAGCTGGACTGCTTGGGACTGCCATGTAGGACATTGCACAGGACTGCCCAAGCTAGCTGCCGGCTATTCATCTGCACATCTATCATAGCCCAGTCTTGCTCAGAAGTACCCACCACTGTCACCTCTCTGCAGAGTTCGGGGGCAAGGCAGAAAGTTTTTTCGGGAGGAGGGGGGAGGAGGGGCTCCCCTTGAAAGGATCATTTTGAATTCGAAGCATTTCTTTGCGAACTTCGGCGACTTTGACCGAATCTATCTATCTAGCCAACTACAACTTTGAGCTCTCCTGAGCATTTCGATAATCGCATCTATACCAAATTTCGTATGACTTAACATAAATAGATTACGAACATGAGTGGCTCGTCAAAACATGAAAACCATGGTGTGTATGTCATGAACGCCACAATTTACATGGCATGGTCTTGCTACTTTCGCGGCGGTATCGTTGGAATGAGAAAATGCAAAACTGGTAAAGTATGACTTGACTGCGTGGTGATCATAAGTGACAGGCCCTATAACGTGGAATTCATGACTTGCATGTCATGCAAGTTATGACCACAACGCGAAGCTCATGGTGCGATCATGTCCGTTTCGCTAACTTCTGGTATACTGGATTTTGTGTTACGTTGTTAAGTGACGTAAATGGATCTCAAAGGTACATGAATGGTGTAAACATCATTATCATGACGTGCATGTCATAAGAACTTCACTGCATGCCACGCTCATGACGCACTCGCGGCCGTTTCGCTTGCGTCACATACACGAAATTTAATATTAAAAGGCGCGAACGGTCGACGAAGTTGAATGACATGTCAAAACATGATAATTTTGATATGCGTGTCATGTAAAATACGACTACATGCTACGCTCATAGCCATTTGCTCCCGACCATTTCGATAGCTTTACGTATACCGAATTTGATGTTACGTGACGTTAATGGACGATGAAGGTATATTACTGGTACAAACATTATTATCACGACATACGTGTCATGTAAGAACATGACTTATTGTTAGGCTCAAAGCGCGCACGTGGGCATTTTGCTAGCTTCACACATACAAAATTAGGCGTTACGTCACGTGAATAGGCGACGAAGGTAAATGACAATTTCATACAATAATATTCATGACATTCTTCTCATGTAAATCATGACTACGTGCTACGTTCATCATAGCCCGCTCGCGGGCGTTTCGCAATTTTTGCATATAACAATTTGGGTATTAGGTGACGTGAATAGATACGAACACAATTGCCAGATGCAAACATGATAATCGTGACAGCGACGTCATGTAGGGCTTAATTCATTTCCGCCTAGTATCGTAGTGCTGATTTTAAAGCGACATTTTAACACTTCTCATTCACTCTGTGCATATCATTGATTCCCACTGTACATGGGATCAGCCCATTCTTTAGCACTGTATGCCATGGTGACCAAAATTTTGCAGGGCGGTACATGGGCCCGATGGGCAACCCTCGGAATAAACTAATGGCAGTGGCCCACTACTTCCTAAGATGAGGACTAGTTGAAAGAAGCCCGTCGAGTGCTGCTGGGCCGGCCCGAATGACAAACTAATGTTCGTAATGGAGATTTCCACTCACATGGTGAGGCTTGTGCACTGTAGAGACCCGCTCTTCCATAATAATCAAATTTTGGAATGAGATGAAGAAAGGGAGTGAAGCTGTCAGACTGACGTTGTTAGATCCGAGATCTGCGTTGTGTGCTACTTTACGGTCAGATTCGCTGGATATATCTGAAGAAGGGGGAGGCTTGGACGCTTGCGCTGTAGTGAGTGCCAAGAGTTCCTTTTACAGCCCGCTGCCAACGCCCATGCAGTCATGTTCGTATTCGGAAGTCGCGTTGCTTCATAATTACATATTGCGTTTTCGTTGTCAGTGTCTCTGTCGTACATTACATTACCCTTTATATATTACTTTCAATAAATTAGAAAAAAAAAGACTGTCGACTAGGGTTAACGAAAGTGTAGCTTGTGTGCATTTGCTATTTAAATAGCAGAGAAACAATAACAACAACATAAACAAGTCGAATACTGTAAAACATTATATAGAGATTTCATTCAAGTGAAAAACAGACTGCAATAAATAACTGCTTAAACAAAATCTTTCAAGAACTGATAGCTATCAAAAATCTAAGGTATGAGAGACCAGCACTGAATAGGTGGCGTGCCGAAATAGAGTACCTGGTGGAGAGTCGCGGCACTAACGAGACGTTCGCGCCCAGACGACTGGCCGCAGTGTACCCAAGAAGGTTCAAAGTGTACCGCGGTGAGATCACGCGCATGAGACTAGCTTCATTTTGGAACGAATGGCTCCAAATGCCATTGCGCCAGTAATACTGCACCGTAGTGTAGAAAAAAAAATACTTTGTCTGACCACTACTCTCACTTAAAAGCACTCGAAAAAGGAAAGCTCTCCAAAGCTGCTGCGTCTATGCATATGCAATAGATGGGACAGTGCTTTGCCGCGATGATGACTACCTCGTCATCTCGTTGCGTGCTGGGTTTTGTGCTGAGAAGCATTAACTGATAAGTCCCGGCTGTGACGATATCGTGCTGCCCATTTGATATGTTGGGTTTAACGTCCCAAAACCACCATATAATTATGAGAAACACCGTTGTGGAGGGCTACGGAAATTTCGACCACCTGGGGTTCTTTAGCGTGCGCCCAAATGTGAGCACACGGGCCTATACAGGCCTTCCGCCTCCATCGGAAATTCGGCCGCAGCAGCCGGGATTTCATCCCGCAACCTGCGGGTTAGTAGCCGAGTATACCTTAGCACCACCGCGGTGAGGCGTTGCCCACTTTTGTAGTAAGAAAAAAAAAGGGGGGGGGGGGTGAATGGGTAGGTGCTTCACTTTTTTTTTCTTCTGTCGTATGTACGACCCTGTACATGGCATGTACGCACGTCAACGTTGTTAAAGCAAACCACCGTGGCCGCAGAGCATGTGCAGTGTAGCGCTGCTACACTTGAGGGCGTGGAATGAATTTGTGACCATGGCGGCCGTATGCCAATGGGGGTGAAATACAAAGAACAACCGTGAACCAAGATATATGTGCAAAATAATGCGTTGACAATTACTTCTCATAACCACACAACGCGTGCGTTGAAATCATATCTTCTTTGGTACATGAAAGCGTAGCAAATATTGATGTTGAACAGATACCTTCATTTTAAGCAGGCACGGGCAAACGGTAAAAATAAAACTGTGTAGTAAGTGAACTAAACTACGACGAAAAATTGAAGACTTTGCATACTTTTCCAGCAAGGCATAAATTCCGATGTTATTAGCCACGGAAGTTAGTGAAAAAGCGGCGTGCCGCATCGGCTGCCTCCAGAAAGCTAAGCTTCGTGTAGTCCGCTGCTTTATTCGTAACAACAACCATGTCTTCAGCATAAACTAAGTGAAACAAAGGCATGTCAGCATGGAGCGTTCACCGCAATAGTATCTTTTATAACAGTTCAGCTGCTTAGGCAAATGCTCCCCGCACAAATCTCGCGAACAAGGCAGGTTTTCTTCTACGTAACTCCTTACAATTGATGTAGACTATACCTATCTATATTATCATTCACTTCAAGCGGGAGCATCTTATGGATTTTGGTGGTAGTGGCCAGATGAAAAATATTTACAAATACGGTATGCTGAATATTACGCTCGTCTTATTTCTGGCAAACCACCGTTTAAATTTCGCTGTATGGCCCTGGTACTAACTGGTGGCCGTCTTCACTATCGAATAAATGTAACAGACCAACGCAATTTCGTTTAGAAACCCGCCCGACACCAGAGGAGAGGCCCCACAGCGGTCTTGTGACTAAGATGCTCGGATGCTGACCGGCAGGTTCCGGGATCAAATCCCGGCTGCATTTTCGATGAAGGCGAAAACGCTATAGGCATATGTGATCATACTTGGGGGGTCGGAATTTCCACAGCCGTCCACAACGGCGTCTTTCATCATCCTATGGTGTTCTCGGGACGTAAAACCCCTCATATCAATATTATGACACCACAGGAGAGTGAGAGTAGAGTGTAATATGCTCGCCTGACCACTTCGATGCAACGCCCCTTTCTTATCGATAAGATTACAGAGTAAAAATGTACACGGATACGTTCTCCCCTATTGCTAGACACTGTGGCAATTGAATACGCAGCGGTGCGCCAAGCTGTATCTGTTTTTTGTTTCGGCGACGCGTGCCCGCGCCGCCTCTATCAGTCGCCACTCTCGTCTGGGGGAGCGACTTATAAGTGCGCGCTTAGACCACTAGGGCAGCGCTGCCCGCATCGTAGAAACACCAGCGCTGGTTCCCGACAAACAGAAAGTGTACTATAAGCACTAGTGTACGCAGCAACTTAAAATGTTTCAGTGTTATTGAGTTTGAGTTTGAGTTTAGTTTATTTACCACGTACAGTTGTACAGTAAGTGGCTGGGACAGAGGAAAAAACTGTATAAAACAGCTTGACAAAGTTCCATATCCCCATGGCAACTGTGGCAACAAAAACGGCAAAATCAAATTAAACACAGGACAGTTTAAACCAGCAATGCATAAGCTTTGCATCAGAACAAAAAAATTAAACAAACTATACTAACCAAAAACGCACATGCTATACATCGAAAAAAAGAAGTAATCAAACAGAAAATAATACTACACACAAATTAATAAAGCATATTTAAAATAAAAATATTAGAGAGCATACGAACATTTTCATAGTTAATTCCTACTTTATTTAGTATATTCGGCAAGCAATAACTCAATGTCTGAAAGCCATAATTTGTGCGCGGTCTCGGCATATGCCAATATTTAGAGTGTTGGTTTAGGCACGTTGAAGGATTTGATTGCAAGTTAGCTAAACTACGTATATAACTACAATCTTTTATGGTATCAGATCTAAAAGAGACTGCAAAAGAATATTCGTAGAGCAGGTTTAATTTGATTATTTTGTATTTAGCAAATAATTGGGAAGTATGGGCATTAAAAGGGTGGTTGGCAAAGATCGTAGCACCTTTTTTGTAAGATAATAAGGTTGCTAATAAATTGCTTTGTTCCATTACCTCAAATTAGGTTGCAGTAACTCAGATGTGATGTAAGGAGCGCAATAAATATCAGAAGTTTTTGAGGAACTGGCAATAAACCCTGACATTTTCTAAAGACACCCAAGACTTTGCAAAGCTTATTGTACAAAAATTCCGTGTGATAATCCCATTTCATGTGTTCATGGAAAACAACGTCCACAGACTTCGCGGTGGAAGAAAATTCGATTATGCTGCTATTTAACATGAGATTTTAGGGTTCAGTGGTTTCATTGAGGGGAGATTTGGCACGAAAAAGAGCAGCTTTTGTTTTGAGACAACTTATAATTAAAGAATTTTTAAAGGTCCAGCTGTATATCTTTTGTAACGTTGAGTTAGCAGTATTTACTAGATGACTAACATTCGTACCTGAAAAAATAAGCTTGTATCGTCTGCGTAAATTACTTATTGGGCTGAATGGTCAACATGTACGATATCGTTTTTAAATATAATGAACAAAAGGGCACCCAACATGCTGCCTTGGGGAACACCATCTTTAACAGTTTGCACAGACGAAATTTCCCTGTTTATAGATACACAGTGGTGTCTGTCTGTTAGGTAGCTTTCGATCAGATTTAAGGCTACACCATGAATTCCATAACACTGCAGTTTTCCTAATAATGTCTTGTGGTTTGATTTGTCGAATTCTTTCGACATATCTAAAAATATGCCAAGTGTGAACTTTTTGGCCTCAATATTTTAGAGAATCAATTCCTTTGGAACAATAGGGCCCTTTCGGTTGAGTAGCCTGATCTAAAACCGAATTGTGATTGAGTTATAATGGAATGTTTATCGGAAAAATTCAACAGTCTAGTATAAATAATTTTTAAGACCTTTGGAAAAAAGCGGGAGAATTGAAATCGGCCTGTGATTTTTTATAAGTGTTTTTGTCTTCATCTTTGTGGATCACCGTCACCTTAGCCGATATCTAATGGCCGATATGTTATGTTAATTCATTGATAGGTATTTATCAACTCTGATGACAGCAGAAAGTATTTGTGTGGACCTCGACGGACCCCTTCGATTTGTCTTAGAAAACATTTTGAGCTATTCTCTGAGGAATTGCGATGATAAGAGAAACTACAGGGGGTAATCTCGTTCAGCCGGCTTACCCACTTCCTCGTGACACCCCAGTAAGAACTGCGTGTGACGTGGTGACTCAGTCTTATGGGAACACTTCGATCTGCGAGAAATAAGGAGAAAATAAGGTAAATAATAAAGGTTGCTTACTAAATAACATATAAGTATTCGCAGCACATTGTTTCTGCGTGCGATGAAATTCCCTAAGGAAGGCGCATGTATAAGAAAAAAAAAACGTTTGTAGGTGCGCCAATAGCACTTGTCCATATTTACAACAGAAGTACCTTCATAGCACCGCACTATAATAATGACGCGCTGAGCAAGCAGAAAAGAAGAAAAGAAAAGCAGTGGAAAGCATGGTCCTGCCCAGTTTTTTTCAATATAAACCTGTTATGAATAACGTTGGTGGCGGCGCTGTCGTGCGAAACAAAGTTAAGCGCTGGCGAGCGTTCAAAATATCGCCCTAAAAGGTACACTGGTCGCATGCATGCCTCTTTGTGTGTACCGTTTTCCAATATTTGATCTTGCTTGGTCATGGGCTTGTCGGCAGTAAACTTTTTTTATATACGGCAGGCTTAACTCTTATCGAGGTCACTAGTTATTTCACGTTGCCACGCTTCATTTCTGCCTGTAATTCAGGCCGTGAGTATCGTTTTGGCCCGTAGCAACCAAATTGCTAAAAGCAACTGAAAGATACAATTTCTTGGCATAGAGGGAGGACACGGTTTGGAAGGAGCATTGTGAAATACGATGGAAATATAAAAAAAGAAAAAGAAGGAAAGAAATGAAAAAGGGAAAGAAACAAAGACAGAAAGAGATGTTATTGCTGCTTCGCACTATTGGTGACAAAGCCTGAAGGAAGAGGGCAGCTGAATGGCCTTTCTGATTCTTCTTTACTTCTTTATTTCCATATTCTCTTTTTCTTGCACCTCTCCTTTGTATCTGTTTTTTTTTACTTTCGTCATGGCTCTATTTATTACGTTTCCCTATTTTCTCTTTCTCTTCACTTGTAACGCGTAGTGTCTATCCCTCTTTTGTTTTTTTCTCTCTATGCATTTCTCTCTTTCTTTTATTGTCGTTTTCATTATGGACCTTTTATTTTTGTTCCTCTATCTTTCTCTTTTTCTCTCTATCTTTTCGTTCTATCTCTTATTTACACGGTCCTTTTCTTTCACCCCGGCACCTTCTGTACACGGCACACGGCAATGGGGCTTGTCCAATTTCAGTGGCGCGTACCCACATCAAGAGCCGTCTGGTGACACCGAACATTCTATACTCGGAGCGTGCCTGTGGAGTGGCTGACGGCCTGGCGCTCCCGACTTGGGAATAGGCCGCTGCACGACAACCTGCGCGTCGCTGGTCGTCCATCACGTTTTGCCCCCGCCCACCCACCGCTCGAACAACCACGCGCTACAAGAGCTTCATAAAAAAATCACACCATATCCATGGAGTGAATGATGAATGGCGGGGTGAAGCCTTCGTCAGTCCGTCCGTGCTTTCGTCCGTCCATGCTTCCGTCATTCGTCCGTTCATGTGTCCGTCCATCCGTGTGATCTTCGGTGCATCCGTCCTTCCGTGCGTCCCTCCGTGCGTCCGTTAGTACGTCCACTCTTCCATCTGTCCAACTGTCTGTCTATTCGGGCAGTCATTCCTCTGTCTGTCTGTCTGTCTGTCTGTCTGTCTGTCTGTCTGCCTGCCTGCCTGCCTGCCTGCCTGCCTGCCTGTCTGTCTGTCTGTCTGTCTGTCCATCCGTCCATCCGTCCGCCTGTGCGTGCATGTGTCCTCCCCTCGATATGTCTGTGAGTCTAACAGTCCGTCCATCTGTATGTACATCCGTCCATCTTTCTAGTGAACACTCCAAGTACAGCCATGTCACATCTTTTCATCATGTATCCATCATATACAAGAGCCGTCATTCAGCGGACACTCTAAGGACTGCTCTTTCGGGCATGTGCCCCCGGTGACTACGTACACCATCGGAGGATGGACAGACCCACACCCTAAGGAGCTTCGCCCCTAAAAAAACTGCTCAAACATACGCGGCAATGCTTTGCTGGCCCCTATCTTTCAGACAGGATAAAGGTTTGTCATTTTTTTATATTTTTTTATCGCTGTGACATGGGCTACAAGCTTTTGTTTGAGAGAAAACACCGGCGTTTTAGAGAACCGATACCCCATAGATTACCAAGGCCTTTCCTATGGTTGCGTGACGTCACCCTATTTGTCCGCGGGGTACCTCCGTTCCGGTAAATTCTGTAGCGTGGCGCTTGCTTTTACTGGTGTTGGAAGAGTCTGTGATGGGTGCAAAATATCATGTCATGTCTTTTGAAAGCTTTGTCTCGCACAAGTGAAGCATTCGGCACGTAGTTTTACTCTACCGAACAGAAACCATACGACATTAGATAAGCTTCAAACCTGCTGGAGATAAAAAAAAAGGTAGCTCTTATAGATGCGCTACACATAAAACCTACTACGGGTAGATATAACCTGCGAAGAGCGGTCCTTTTATATTCACCTAACTGCGTTATACGATAGAAGTCGCTCAAAACAGGAAAAAAAGAAGGAACACCTCAGTGATACGCGTGAAATAACCTTTGGAGGCTGGTTTCTATACATCTCCTACAAACGGAAATGGGATTTTTGTTTTTGACAAGTTATCTTTGATTTCTTGCGTCGTATCATGAGAATGCCATTTTTATTATCGCAATAGCTTGCTACATAACACCCTCGGCATAGGAGGATGGTTGTATAGGTCAACATGCAGAGAACATAACACAGAAACCCAACTAGGCGTAGTTTATGGCAGTAAGAACAAACTAGAAGCTATTTTAATTATATACTGTGAGAAGGGTACCCTTCCTAGCACTGTTCATTTATAAATGCACAGTACTGCTCAGTGAATATTCACGAAACATGGATCCATCGTCATCGCTATATTCATGTATTCCCATTATGCACTAAAAGTGTATTTTCCTTTCCACAATTACAGCTATTGCAGCTAAGAACGAATATTCACACGCCCGATAAAGTGACACTACACTTCTTTACCTTTGAATTCACTCTTGGCGTAAAACCCTTGCGTAGGATAGCTGAAACCCACGCTTCTTCCTGCACGTTGGACAGAAAAGAGCGTGGCTGTCGGACACTTGGTGTGACGTAGCTCGCGGGGAACTGAGGATGTGGAGAGTGTAGAAAATCTTTTCTAGGTTATTGAATGAACGTGTCAAGTTCAGTGTGCAGAAATGTCGAGTCCGTTGTTTCCAAAACTAGTAAACATTGCTTAAGACAATATTCGCCGGCACTGCTAATAATAGCCTGATTCTGGCTTCTTTTTTTTTTGCGAAGCTGCTTATAGTATACTAGTCACTTCGCCCGTTTTATTATTTTTTTTTTGGGGGGGGGGAGCTTATTTGTATTTTTTTCAGAAACTATAGCCGTGTTAGTGATTATAACGTTCCCTTATGCGTCTTTGTCATTTGCCAGCGAGTTTGTCGGCAACTTCGACTAGCCACGAAGAAGACGAAGGGTCGTCGCAGCGTCTCCCTCCCCGTGCAACTAAATGTACGGGGCGAATTTTGCGCCGCCCCCCTAAAATCACCACCCCACACCCCGCCCTCAGGTAAGTACACCAATATGGTTGAGTGCTGAAGTCAATCACGCGTTGGAGGAATCAACAAGTAACGTTGATCATGCACCGTCAAACATGCCATCAATCAAATAGAGAGGCCCTGGAGGCAATCTCTTCAAGCAGGCGTGTCCTTTTATTATTATAGTTTCGCATTCTTCTGCTGTGCAGAATAATTAGTGATTTCAAGGGTGAAGCTTGTCTGTCGGCATGTCTGTTGTCGCAACGTAGCTAGCCGCAAGTACTCGAGCACCCACTCGGTAGCTCTGTGGCGCTCGCTCCACTCCCACGCCCGCTCTCTCTCGATAGTCGCCAGTCTGTGCGCTTCGATAATAATAACTTGAACGAAGAAGACAAGCCGGCGGAGCGGAGGGCTCGCAAAGCGATTGCAGTGCGGACTCGCCATCATGACTCGGAAGTGAGAGCTCGAGAAGCCGAAGCGGCATGGGCTCGTCGAACGACGGCAAGCCACCGATTCAGAGGCGGCGAGGGCTCGCGAAACGGCGGAAAAACGCGCACGATGACTAGCGCACCCGGAGCTGAGATCCCGCGAAGCGGCGGCGGCACAGAAGCGCCGGCAAGCGGATCAGGAGGCGGTGTGGGCGAGGGACGCTGCAGCCAAGTGCCTGAAGCAATGTTTGTCGTGTCTTTACATGCTGGTCAAGTGGGTGAAATTTGCAGAATATTAAGGTAGGTTGGGGTAAAATAAAACAGGGGCGAAACGCGACACTTAGACTTTTACAGCCTCTGTAGCTGATACAAAAACTACCGTACTTTGTTTTTTCTTGTCCAGCAATAAGTGATAATCTTTGTCTACATTTTCATGTGTAAAAGTTTATGGTTGATCACAGTGTTCACACGGGAAAAATTACGTGGTTGGTGTAAGTGTGTCCGTGGCCAATCAAAAGGGGGCGCAATTCTGATCGGCCAAACTCTCAGATCTGTGCATGAAGCTACTCCTGCATCAGTACAGCAGCGTAACTAATTATCTTGTTTCTTTAAACTATGTGGCGCATAACACCTTAGTTTAGTTCGTTTGGTGCCAGGGAACGAGGTAGATTTTTGTTTTAAATTCTCGTACAACACGAGGAAAATGTACCCAATTGTCTCGAAGGGCTTTGATTATTTATTAACCAATGATAGCCTTAATGACCAAACCAATAGCTTGCACTCATTATGCATTATATTTATTTGTCTAGGAGAGTTGCGACATACAAGATAATATATTATAGAGCTCCCTGCCGGGAGAATGACATAAAAAGCACTGATTGTCATTCAGGACATGACTTCCTTCTTAAGTGCTGCATCGAGAATTTTCTATGTTCCGATGAACGCTCTCAAAAGACGCATGAAAATGGCGAAATCTTTAAGTCAAGTCGCTCACAAACATGCCTTGAAATTGACATTTAATGACGTTTCTCCAATACCATAATTGAAAAAAAAGTGTTAGAAAATACGAATTTAGAGCAGTTTTATTT